AAGTTTTAATCATTTTATTTTATTTAATTTGATTAAAGATTGCTTCTAATAAACATTCTGAATTGTGTAATTATTCAGATTTATCTTTAAATTTATCTTTGCCTTCTCTATATCCAACATTTTCTAATTCATATTGAAACATTAATTCAAAGCTAATTTATATAGAATTATATACCCTTATTAATAAGCTTCTATAATTTCCTTTCTATTGTCTTAATAGTTTATTTTGAGATTAATTATGAATTCAAATTGACATGATTATGGTGGTAATCTTTAGATAATTGGTATTTTAGGTTTTACTAAGTATTTAAGATAGATTACAAAATTCACGTTGCATTTCTGGTAATTACATTAATGTAAATGTATTGGGATCAATTTATGCATTCACTATGATATTATAGAGTTATTTACATATTCCTCTAAGGTTATTCAAAAGAATATTTCCATGAATAATAGTTATAGTGGATAAATTGATGGTAGCTTCATAAATATGTGTATTGTCTTAAAAATTCAAATCATTTAGTTTATCTCCTTAACAAAAATCTATATAGGTTAATTATTATATATATATACTTCCCATATTGATGAATAAATTAAATTAATGAATAATAAAAAAGTTTTAGAGTTAGTATCAAAAATATTGATTTTTAAAACTGAGCATTGCTAACATAAACATTCATGTATTAGAAATACTTTCCAAGGTGCAAGTGAAGCATTCATTAAGGCATTTATTGCTAAATTATGTTTGAATGGATTAATGTTATTATTAAGTTTAAAGAAGGTGATGAAATCAGATAAAAAATTATTAAATGCTTTCAAAATTCTACTAAATAAGTATGAATATATTAATATAAAGAACTAATTTTCAATTGGGATTATTTATGGGATTATAAACATTCTTACTTAAAGGTACATAATGTTCATTAAGAACAACAAGAAATAAAGAGGATGGAATCAATGCACTCTTGGCTGGATTCATTGCTGGAGGTTTAAGCTATATGACACAAGAGGAAAATGTTAAATATTTAGTCAGAGTGTATTTATTTGGTAGAGCAGTTGATTGCATCTATTAATCTTAAGTTGAAAAGTACTATTGACATTTTTATTATTCATAGAGGAAGATTCAAACATAGAAAAATTATACCTGTTTTAGTATTTGCTTTAATGTCCACATTGATTTCATTCGCATTCTTTTTTGAACCTGAGATTTTACCATTGGATACATATAAAATGTATTAAAATTTCTCAGGTGCTGAAATGAATGATTCATTATGGCATATGTGCAATGTCTAAGCATGGAGAAATAAAATTAATGCAGTTAAATCCTCATGAAATATTATTGTTAATTTCATATTTATCATTTATAATTTATGAATGATCTATTATATATATGTATTTAAAGTTGAACATTTTTTAGTATGTAGATTTATATTTATATCCTAATAGTTATATAATATTATTAGAATAATGATTAATTTTATATATTCATTTAGATAAAATATATCAAATCTAATTAGTATTTATAAATTATATCAATTATATAATATTTTTTTATTTGAATATAAATTAGTATACTTTTATAATAAACTATATATTTTTATATATTTATCTGATTATATTCTAATGGCTAGAACTTCATATCTCATATAAAACTACAAGATAATACAAATCTATCATTAACTTTATAATTATCATAATGAAAAAAAGATATTAATAATAGTTATTTTTAAGCTTCTTAAGTAAACTAAAATTTATAATGTGATTAATATATATATATATATATTTTGAGAATATAAAAAAAAGCTCCGCGTCCGGGAATTGAACCCGGGCCTCAAACGTGACAGGCTTGAATACTAACCACTATACTAACGCGGATTCTTAATTATTTATTTTAAGTTATTATATAAATGAGCGTGAGAGTTAAACTTGATAATAAAGAAAGAGGTTATTATGCCTCATTGTATTAAGCAGTTGATGCAACAGTATTTAAATATATAATATTATTAGAATACAGGCTAAATTGGAGGAGCTTAAGCAGTCACATTTTTCAAAAGGTCTGGATTATCAATTGATATTCTTAAGAAGATTTGGTTAATTAGTTCACCAAATAATTAAACTTTAAATAAAGAGGAATTCTATGTTGCTCTTAAGCTTATCAGTTATGCACAAAACAATATTGAGGTTTCCATTGATTCCATTTAAAGATGCATTCCAAGTTCATTACCATAATTTTAATCTGATACAGAAGAAGTCTATAAACTAAGACCAGAATAGGAAAAGTTATATTAGAATTATATATAATAATTGGATCATTCCAATTCCACAGTATAATTATTTATTTTTATTAGGTCTCAACTTAAATGGCTATAAATTTATTCAAAAAAACACAACTCACTTAATTCTAATTATAGAATATCATCAATCTAGTAGATCCAAGTTTATAAACAAAACCAAGAATGACTACCCATTCCTATATTGTTATTGCCCATCTAATATCTTTAGCATCTTAGAGTGTACCTATACCATAAAAATTACCAAACTCCTTATCAGAATATTTAAATTAACAAATATTGATATCATAAAATCTTAATAATAATATTAATAATACACCTATAAATGTTGTACCTAAATCAAATGATTTATTAGATTTTGAAGCAAATTTTGATAAATCTAAATCTCCTATTGATAAATGTATATATTCTTATTAGACTATTTAGATAGTGCTTTCAATTATATTGAAATTCCAAATACTATAATTGAATCAACTGTTTAATAATAACAATAACCTTAATTAACTACATCTTAATCATTCAAAATACCATCCACATAAAATTAATAACCAATCTTAAAACAACAAAAATCATTTGATTTAATTATTAATGATATTGACTCGCAGCCATAATAAATTATCTAGTAAACTATACCAAAATAATAGTAGGTGACTACTATATAATCATAAACAAGTACATAATAACCTAAAAAGACAATAGAATTTTAAAAATAAGTCTTACTTTAAGAATAAATGTTAATATAACAGTAATAGCTAGAATAAAATTATAAAGAAGCAAATGATTTGCTTAATGAATTTAAGGAATCTCATGAAAAGATTCTAATTTCAAGTTAAAGTTAATTAGAATCATTATAAACAACAAATGAACAATATAAGACTTTATTAAAAAAGATTTCAGATGAAAATTATTTATTTTAAGAAGAACTTAAATAAATTGAATAATAGAAAAAAAAACTTACTGAATCTTTAAGTAAATAAGCCATAGAAATCAATTAAAAATTAGGATTAAATATTTAATTAAAATAAGAATACTCTAAATAAACAACAAATACAATTAATGTAGTTACAGATTATGCAAATTAAATAATAGGAGATTTGAGATCAAATTATGAAATTGAATAAGAAAGAAAAAAGAGATAAGAATAAGAAATTGTTAAAGAACTCAAATTATAAAAAGATTAAATGACTTCAATTTTTGAAGCTTTGAATTCTTTATCTAAAGATATGAAATCATAAAGAAAAAGTTCAATTCCTTATTAACCTATTGATACACATGATACAAATATACCTATATAATAAGTTTATTAATAATAATAATTTGTTGATAATAACTTTGATATTATTGATATATAAACAATAAAGAAATAAGAATATTAGTAAGAATAAATAAAATAAGTTGATTTAAATAATAATAAAGAATAATTTGATGTATTTTCTTTATATAATGATAAATAACATAATTAAATAGTCTAATAAGAATAGAATGAATAATTAGATTAATAATAATAATAATAATAATAATAATAATAATAATAATAATAATAATAATAATAATAATAATAATAATAATAATAAGTAGAAAATTTTGGATTTAGTAATAATTTATAAGTTTAATTAAGTTAATAATAATAAACAGAAGATAATAATAAGATTGATGATAATAATATTAATAGAAATATTGACGATCATCATGAAATCTAATAGTAATAAGATTAATAAATAAATATTGAATTTGAATAATCTACTTAATTTGAAAATTAAGATGAAATAGAACATAAAGGATTTGATATTAAATTTGAAGATGGATTTGGCGTTCATTTTGATAATAGAAATTCTATTGAGTAAAATCCATCAATAAATTTTGATTAAAATTTTGTTTTTGATTAAGAAATAAAATAAGTAGATGAAGTTTAAATTGATTTTGATGCTAATAAAGAATTTGGTGGAGGTGATTGGACAGGATTTGGTGATAATTTTGTTAAAGGTTCTCAACCATAATAGGATGAATTTTAAACATTTAAATGGTGAAAATAATTATATATATATAATAATATAAATGATTCATTAATTATTATTGATAAATAATCATATTTAAAAATGATTTCTAAAATCATCATAATTAAATTCATGTTATTTATGATTAAGTGTATAGATGTATTTTTCATATAATTCAGGTGTCATATAAAATTTGAGAAATTAATTAGTTAAGAAAGTAGCTTCATCTTTATCAATTTTATAATCCATAATATCTCCTCTTATTAATGCTAATTGTTTTGATGCTAATAATTCATCAAAAATAGTTAATATAAAATAAGGAGTGGAAAAAGACCCTGATTTTTTATATTCTTCTAAAAAAGTAAATAACTAACATATGAATTATGTTTACAATACTATTTGTTTATGATTATCCAATCAATTAAAAATGACCTCCTTTTCTTTTAATTGGTAATAAAAATAATGGAGATTCTTTTGTATTTCTTTTTAGAATTTCATATTCATCTTTACTTACAATATATGCAACATTATGTTATTTTTCTTTATGATACTCCATCCATAATGAAATAACTTAATCTTTTGATTCCCTTTCAAATAAAGACATTTTAACAATTTCTCTCAATTTTCTAGGACATGGATAAGTAAATGCAAACTTATATTTATTTAAGAAACTATTTAACATAATTTAATTTATTTTTAAATTATTAACAGTACAATGATCTAAAAAGTTAAAATTGAATGTGTTAAACAAGGATACTAAATTAGCAATGAAATGAAATTTGATATAATAGATTTTTATACTAAATCTTTACATCAAGAACATTATGCTCATAAAACTGATTACATTAGACATAATCTTGAAGAAAAATATGGTATATTATTAATTATAAATAATAGGACGTTGTTTCTCAATAATAATGTATTAGATTGGTGCTTTTGTGTCTCATTCATTTTTACATGCAGATGATTTTTTATTAGAATTAAGATCACCTGAACATCATATATTAGCATATATGTTACCACCATCATTTACTCCTCCTCCTTTAATTCCTGAACCATAAGTTATACCATTTAGTAGAACAACTACTCAACAATTACATGTATCTAAATATTAGTAATTGTATTACATTTTAACATAGTCAGCCATATAATACTAGTTATTACCGATATTGATTCAATTTATTTTATTTATAAAATATCATAAATTTATGTCATTTATTAATTCTCTTGTTTCATCAAAAAAATAGTAAATATAACAAATATTAGGAATTAATATAAATAATATTTAAAGATTTAATTACTAACTATATAAAATCTAAAAGTAAACAGCATATTTATAGAAAAAAATATAAATATTAAAAATTAGTTTATTGATTAATAATAATTGTTACAATATAAATGGAGATCATGTAAATTAGACTGTAGGTTAAGAACTAAAAAAATTAGTGTCTGTAATGTCTTAACATGATCTTTTTTAAATTTAACTTTATTAAGTTGTTTTATTTCTTTAGACAACTTTAAAATTACTATAATGTTGATTATTGCTATTTTTAGTACTATGAACTGGTTTGTATGGAAAGAGAGAATCACAAAGTATGAATCCTTGTTATGGTTTGGCTTTATAAAATTGATCTGCAGTCTAACATAAAGATTTAGATTTCGAAATAGATGTATGAGATTAACGACTTAGACATTATTTGAGTATTTCAACTTTTTATTAAATTAAAGGATTAATTATTCTTAGTTATTATTTGGTCATTGTTAAAAATGGTAAATTATTTTATAATTCTTCTTCTTCTTCTTATTAATTAAATATGATTGGTTCTTTTTATTAAACTGAAGGTAATTGATGTCTTCTAATTTATTATAGAAGATCTTTAATATCTTTTTGATTTTTACTAAAATAAGGTGTTTTACCTCTTAACATAAATTTATAATAAATACTTAGGTTTTGCAGGTTAAAATTATTCGAATTATTTTTCAACTCTTATTAGTAAACATTTTTAGAAGTTTTCTCCAGCCATTTTAAGCATATTGAATTCTTCATTTTTACCAGCTGCTATATCAGATTTTGTATTCTAATCAGCTATAGACAAATTTTATTCAACCATTTATTATTTAGTCATTTTAGGTTATAATGTAGATCTAAGAATAGGAGAGGATTATTCTTAGATTGAATTCTATGTTTTTTATTTAATTTCGATTTCATTAATATATCTCCTTTCAATATTTTTGATTTCTTCTTTTTTATGAAGATTAATATTAGATATTTTAGTTTAAATAATTTCTTATACTCTTTTTCTATACAATAATATATTTTTTTATTGTAAAGATTAAAGAGGTATAATAAATTCAGGAAAGGATTTCTTAACAATAGCATAATTATCTAATTACAATACAAATACATTGCATTAAGTTATAGTTTTAACAGTGTAATCTCTTTTTTCATTTTATAAATAGATATCAGTTTCACCAACAAAACATCCACCTGTAAGATGTGCTATCTATATATTGTATAAAATATATACAGTAATTAGTTCTTTCTAATTAGATTTCTCTCTTTTTGGTGATAAGATTATTTGATTCTATTCAGATTTTAGAAATGGATTAAAATCAACAGTTTATTAGAGTTGAATTTCACCATCTTTTAAGAGAAAGAATCCATCAACAATATCATTTTATTTCCATATAGTATAATTAACAGGATATTTGTATTATGTGAAATACATTATCAATTTACTCATTTTAAATTTAGTCATAGTTGGAAACATCTTAAGAAAATAATCTATTTTTTCTTAAGATGTTTTAATCTATTTTTCAAAGATTTTCTATTAATTAATAAATATAATATATATACTTTGAAATTTGCTTTATTAAGTGATAAGGCTTAGACATCTGTAACAGCAATAATACTAGCTGCTCTAGGTTTATCAGTTGTTAAAGCCATATCTCCAAAATAAAGACCAGAATGTACTTATGACAATTATTAGAATTTACATATTCCATTAATAGTAAAATACATATCGAAATTACCTACATATAATAATAATAATTCTGCTTCTATTTATTTTACTGGTTTTGATTATTTTTTTATTAGTTTTTCATAAAATGATAATTTATGATCTTATTCAATNCTAAAATAAGGTGTTTTACCTCTTAACATAAATTTATAATAAATACTTAGGTTTTGCAGGTTAAAATTATTCGAATTATTTTTCAACTCTTATTAGTAAACATTTTTAGAAGTTTTCTCCAGCCATTTTAAGCATATTGAATTCTTCATTTTTACCAGCTGCTATATCAGATTTTGTATTCTAATCAGCTATAGACAAATTTTATTCAACCATTTATTATTTAGTCATTTTAGGTTATAATGTAGATCTAAGAATAGGAGAGGATTATTCTTAGATTGAATTCTATGTTTTTTATTTAATTTCGATTTCATTAATATATCTCCTTTCAATATTTTTGATTTCTTCTTTTTTATGAAGATTAATATTAGATATTTTAGTTTAAATAATTTCTTATACTCTTTTTCTATACAATAATATATTTTTTTATTGTAAAGATTAAAGAGGTATAATAAATTCAGGAAAGGATTTCTTAACAATAGCATAATTATCTAATTACAATACAAATACATTGCATTAAGTTATAGTTTTAACAGTGTAATCTCTTTTTTCATTTTATAAATAGATATCAGTTTCACCAACAAAACATCCACCTGTAAGATGTGCTATCTATATATTGTATAAAATATATACAGTAATTAGTTCTTTCTAATTAGATTTCTCTCTTTTTGGTGATAAGATTATTTGATTCTATTCAGATTTTAGAAATGGATTAAAATCAACAGTTTATTAGAGTTGAATTTCACCATCTTTTAAGAGAAAGAATCCATCAACAATATCATTTTATTTCCATATAGTATAATTAACAGGATATTTGTATTATGTGAAATACATTATCAATTTACTCATTTTAAATTTAGTCATAGTTGGAAACATCTTAAGAAAATAATCTATTTTTTCTTATTATGTTTTAATCTATTTTTCAAAGATTTTCTATTAATTAATAAATATAATATATATACTTTGAAATTTGCTTTATTAAGTGATAAGGCTTAGACATCTGTAACAGCAATAATACTAGCTGCTCTAGGTTTATCAGTTGTTAAAGCCATATCTCCAAAATAAAGACCAGAATGTACTTATGACAATTATTAGAATTTACATATTCCATTAATAGTAAAATACATATCGAAATTACCTACATATAATAATAATAATTCTGCTTCTATTTATTTTACTGGTTTTGATTATTTTTTTATTAGTTTTTCATAAAATGATAATTTATGATCTTATTCAATATCTTCAATTGTTTAAATTTACATTCTTTCTAATATTTTTTCAATTTTTGGTAACATAGCACTTTCCTCTGCTTCTATTTATTATTATTATCTACGAATATATACACCTGCTCTTCCAGTTAAGATTATATAGAATTTATCTCCTTATTCACCTTAAACTAATAATCAATATTAACCTATATGAAATACTGCATTTTCTTTTTAAATTCTTTCATATTATAAATTTTAACATATTAAACGAGTGAATTCAAATAATGTACTAGATTCAGGACACCAAGTTTTAAAGATTTCTATATTTTACATAATACTAGTAATCGAATCTACTTATATATCTGTTAGATTGAGATTATCTCTATACACTTAAATTACAGGCTCATCATAATATTTAAACTTATACTGTAAACATCAATTCTTTCTATTTAATTTAATCTTCCACATCAATTATTACTTCTTTTGCGACTGTTTTTCTTCTATTCATTTATATATGATTAATTTTATAATATAATTATGTCAATATTATAATTTATTCTGATTTGCTGAAATGTCTAAAATTAACAAATCTTAATCATATATTAATTATTATCAATTGTAATTATTTTAATACTTTTTCTATCAAATATAATGAATATAAATAAGGATAAAATAAATATATTATTTTTTAATTAGTTGTTATTAATTTATAAAGATATCTAATATAAATTATGAATCTATTACTAATTTATATATTTCTGTATTATAAAAAACAAGATTTTATTAATAGATTGAATAGATTGTAACAAATACAAATATTATTTAAATCATATTCATCCACACACTTTATAAGGACATGATCCAACAAGTTGTCCACAACTTGGACACATATGATTTGCATCTCTACAACCGTCAGCCACAAATGGAACCCAACAAATACAGCATATAAATAAAAATAATATGAAACAACAACACCAAGTTCCTGATCCTGCTTAAAAATCTATCCTTGTTGTTCCTTACTTTTAGCAATATGGACATGTCATTAATATGGGGAATCTTGATTAATTACAAAGTATTTATGATTGTGTTGTATTTCCTAATTAAGCATTTACTACAATTAACTCTTGTTAACCTGGAGGAGATCCAACTTAATCTATAATTTATTAATCATAAAATTTACAAGGAGCACCCTAAACAATAATATTTTATTGAGGATTAATAGGTGGAGGAGGATATTATGGTTGAGACTAATATGTGTTCATGGGTTATGTGTACACAACTAATTCTAAATATTTTAAACATTACCTTATTAAGTTTATGGCTAAAGAGGTGCCTAATATTACTATTGACCATCAGCTATTTCAAAAGTGGTATTAGTATCTTATTGCATAATTAAATATATTAATGAATTCTAATTCTATATTATTTTAGCTAAATTTCTATTTTAGATATTTAATCATTCTGCCAATTAAATAAAGGTATTTCTATTATAAAAAAATAAATATCAATTAAGAAACAACAGATAATATATTAATATTCAAGACAAACAGATATAAGCAATTTTATAAATTTTACTTAATTTATAAAGAATTGCAATTAAATTTGTTATTATATATGGTTTAATAATGATATTCTAATCAATATTTGGACATTTCACATAATTATTATTATTATTCATTATTTGAAACTACAATATAGTTGTTTATAAATATGATAAATCAATAGCTATATAATATAAAATAATGTTTTAAATATAATTAATAAATAGTTTTAATCACATTTAAATTGTTAAAATGATAAAAAATATATAATAATTATATGATTTTATTTAACAATAATATGAAATTTTATTTCAAAATTAAACTGGCTTAAGAAATGAAAACTTTTGATCTGTTGGATTAATTAAGTATCTAAGTACAGACTCTCCAGATTTAAAATTATAATTAGTTAAGAAATTGTGTCTATTTTAGAATATCTTAAATATTTCTTTAATTTTATAACTACTATGACCAACATCATGATCAGGATCTTATGGACTAATTAATGAAAATCTCTCATCTTATGTAGATTTGTTTTCAATACTTCCTCCCTTACCCATAACAATTTTCTTTCTTGATACATCAAATTTGATTCCATAAAATTCAAGAAACTTAATCATATATTCACCTAATGTAACATTCTTTATTTGATCTTGTTTATTATGTTTAAAGAAATCTTTACGATATTCTCTTAAAAATGCCAAGATCATTTAAAATAATAAGAAGGAACCTACTCCTCCACTATATGTTTCATTTAAATCTCTTTATCTTAAAATACATTTTAAAGTCATTAATAGAAATTTTAATTCAGGATAAATTTCAAAAGCTTTTTCTAATTCTTCAATTTATTTTAATCCATCTAATTAATTGAATGATAAATCAAAATGATATTAGGATTCAACTTCAATAAATTTAATTATAGGCACTTTAGCATTAGCTATTAAATTAACATTTTCAAATTTATTTGTTTATTTCATCATTTTAGCAGCTACTTTTTTAAATAATTATTTTTATGTGCAAGATGTTTCTATCATTACCATATCTATATCTGCATTAGGTAAATACATCCTTGTTTTGAAACTACCAAATGATTCAATTTAAGCTTCTGGAATAATATCTTATAAGTATTTCTCTACTCTCATATAGGCTGCTATTCTTCGTTTATGTTCTTGATCAGATGGTGAAATGTAATCAAAAAATTCAATAATTTCATTATGTAATCTCAATACTGGATGTCTAATCATCATTGTCTTCTTGCTCATCCATGGAATAATATCTTCATTTATTATACAATCATCTTCATCTTCATTTTTTATTTTCTTTTAACTTAAATTATTATAATGTTTATATACATTTTTGGTTCATCTTCTTCATCATTTATCATTATTACATCTTTATTATTTGAATGTCTAGAATGATGAGCATTTTTGTTCATTAGATAAAAATTATAATGAATTAATAATATTGGTATATTGAAACAAAGCATATACTATTAATCAGTATAAGCTTCCAAGTTAAACCATAGGTCTATTTATCATAATATTGATGACAATAACCATGTTTAGAGTATTGCCTCAGAGATTATGATCCTAATCTATAACTTCATTCAATTATTTCTATAACTAAGAATCTCTATAATTCTTTATGGGTTTATATATATAAATTATTAATATATTGTAATTATGGATTCCAATTATGATAATATAGAAATATCTGAATAAAAGAAATAATTCCTTAAAGCATTCTTAAGAGTCTGGAAACTCAAAAAAGACTAAGAATTATAATAGAAAGAGTAATAATAAGAATAAACAGAAGAATAAATATAAGAAATTTAATAAGAATAAGCATAACCTAAAAGTTAAGTATTTTCAAGAGAAGAATATGCTAAAGATCAATTTTGGGAAGATAGATATAAAGAACATAAAGGAAGATTTGATTGGTATGTAGAATGGCCTTAACTTAAATTCTATTTAGAACAAACTAAATTTAAAATAACAAAAGAAAGTTCAATTTTAATGGTTGGATGTGGTAATTCAGCATTGTCTGAATAAATGTATAAAGATGGGTATATCTATATATATATATATATATTAGTTATCATAATATTGTGTCAATTGATATATCTACAACTATTATTGATAGAATGTAGGATTCTGCAATTAAATAGAATATGAAATTATAATATATGGTTATGGATGCAACGTCTATGAGTTTTCAAGATAAACAATTTGATATTGCATTTGATAAAGGAACTTTAGATGCATTATCTTGTGGAGATGATACTAAAAATATATTATTGTTATAAGAAATGAATAGAGTAGCAAAATAACTCTTATTTGTTAGTCACTCTTCTCATTAAAAAAGAATTGTATAATTATTATTAACTAAAGAATATTATGGAATAAGTATTTGAAAATAGAAATGTATATGAAACTAAAATTAAATTATCTGGTTAAGCTGAATTAATTAATATTATTAGAACTAGATTAAAAGATAAACCATTAAGTTATGTATTAAAAGATAAAGAATCATTAGTTTAATGTATAAATGAATATAAATAATCATAAAAATAATAAAAATAATAATAATAAGATGAAATAAATGAATATATAATAATTAAAAGAGTTTAATAATAATAATTAGATGAATAATAATAATAATAATAATAATAATAATAATAAATAGATTAATAAATAGATTAACTTAATTTATAAGAATCTTAAGATATTTTATAATAAGATAATAATCATAACTTTATAGATAACAATAATTAGCATTCAACAAATGAAGATAATTTAATAAATTATGATCCTAGACGATAATCTCATTGCTATCTTTATAAGATTTTATGATTCAATTCAATTTACAAATAATACATTAATAATAAATTGCATATTATATTAATTTAAACAAATAATAAATTATGATATCAAATGATACTCTGACTCCAATGCAACAAACTGCCTAATTTTATATACCTCCTGGATTTAGTTTTAATAGAAGAACTCTAAAAAGACTCAATCCTCAAAATAATATAGTAGAAATGCAAACTATCAATAAAAATTAAAACCTTAATATGAAGTCAAATAGTTAACCAAATTTATTAAATCTAACAAGAGATAAAAATTTTTCTTTCTATTTCGAATCACAATAACAATCAGTACAATAAAACTCAGTAAAAAAACAATTATCTCTACTTGGGATATAGTAGAGATTACTGTTCCCAATAATCCCTTTTAAAAAATAGAATTCTCTCAATATTGATTCAATAAATAGTATTTCATCTCCTTAGAAAAGTAAAAAAATTTTAAGAACTTTATTAATGCCTTAAAAAAAAAGTTAAAATTTAATTATATCTCAAAAAGAACATCGCTCTACTAGGTCTCAGGGTAGAAGCATTTTGTAAAGTCGACCATAACTAAATTTACTAAATAGAATTTTCTCATAAAAATCGTAACATTAATTATGATTTATGTTTATATAAAATTATCTGTAGTATAAATGATCATCTAAGAAAATTGGGGGTATTCATAATAATATTATAAATAAAATTATTCATTCTTGTGTCCAACAATTAGATTATTAAAATTTCTACAAATCTTCATAATCATATTGACTTTCTCTTTATTAATATAATTCTATTTATTCTTAATCTTGAAAATCACTAATTTAAGAATAATTCAAAAAATCTTGTTAATGTTGAAGGTTTGGTTGAGGGTTCTATAAAAAGATAATAAAATACTTTGTAATCTATAAAAGCTTTATTAATATGATCTAAAAATTTTTAAATTTCATCATTATTTCGTTCGAAATTAATGTCAAATTTAACTTTGTCATCTTCCTCAACTGTTTCAGATTTTTTAGTATTATTCATCTGGATATCTTAAGATTACTTTTATTTATCCTCATAATGTTATTTAGCTTTGATTAGGAGTATCCAAAGATTTAAAAAGTTTTCAATTGTCTTTTACATTTGAGGATCTTCCTATGTTAAGATTGTAAACAAGTCTGAGGAATTTTGAATATTTTGGTAATTATAGAAGAAACTAATAACTTCATAAATTAACTTTAAATCTTTAGGTTGAAATATTTCATTAGAATAACTTATTGAATTTAGTTTGATATTGTTTTTTTCAAAGTATTCTAATAATTATGGATAGTAATTTAAGCTATTCAAGGGCATAGGAAGACAAGTATTTAACAAATTTGTAATGTGTTTGTAAACATTTTCAATCATGAATTTTAGTAAATTTAATGATAAAAGAATTATAAATATTCATTTTATTTAAATGTTTGAAATCTCATCTTTAATTTAAAATGGTATTCAGAAAGAAGAAGAAGATAAATAAGTTAATTAGAACTATATTTGTGAAATAATGAGGAGAAAATAAATGCATTTCCATTAGAAAATAGTATAATGATTATTTTAATCTTAATGAAAATTTTGGAATAATAAAGCTAGATATAAGGAGGATGTAGAGTCAGATGTTGAGTTATAGAAAGAAATGGAAGTAAAATAATTGTAATAACAAGCAGCAAAGAATATTAAATGATACTGATATTTGAGGTGTGCATGTAGATAAAGAACAAGATGTATTAGAATAGAAAACAAACTAATTATTATATTAATACAATTTAATTGGATTGTAGTGTAGAAGTGAGAAAAATTAGAATTAAACTGGAAATAATTTAGAAAAAAATGTTAAAAAATTGAATAATAATGTATTAAGAGGTTGGCCAGAATTTATAAGTATACTTAATGATTTTACTAAGATTGAAATGAGAACTATGCTTAATTAATATAGATGAATAATGGTTAGATAGAGAAGGAGGAGTTTAAAAAAAGAAGAAAGGTGAAGAAAAAGAAATAAATTAAGAAATAATAATAAGGATAAGATACATTTAGTTTGAAGAGATAATAAAGACTATTTATAATAATAATGTTGATGAGCATTGGAAAGAGGGAGGAATGGATGAGATTTATGAAGAGAATTAAAGATTAGAAGAAATATAAGAAAGACTTAAGAATTTTTTAAAGTTTAATAAAACATAAAAAATATATGAAGTTAGAAGATCCAAGTATTAAGATTATAGAGATTAATATTTGTACTTAGAAGAGTAACTAACTATTACAATTATAAAATATTTTGATGAATAAAATGTGTTTTTTCCCATTCTTATTCAAGACTTTGAGTCTGAATTAGCTCGTTTTGATGATTAAGAATTAGAGGGTGATCTTTTTCTGCTTATGCTTCTCTTTTTGGGCTTATCTTGTCTTTTTGGACTTCTACTATCTCTATGTTTATTCCTATAGTATCTGTTTTTTCTTCTAGATCTTGAAGAGGAGTATGAAGAATAGGAACGAGAATCAGATCTCCTTCTATGATGTCTAGAATATAATTAGATAAATAACCTACCTAGATCTAGAATTGGAATATCTTCTACTTCTACGAGGTGATCTGCTATTTGGACAATTTCTAGCCCTGTAAAATATTAATTAATATTTATACCAATGCCCACCTTTATTGCATTTGAAACACAAATCACTATCAGAAGGTCCAGTTTTACGACTTTTGCCTTTATCCACAATATCCACCTTGAGTTTCTGACCTTTATAAGACATTCCATTAGTCTCTTTGAGTGCTTCTTAAGCTTCAGTCTCGTTATTAAAAGTCTAATAAGATGGATATATTACAACGAAAGAATATGAGCCTTTGTAAGCGACTTCTTTGACTGAGCTATATTTTCTAAAAATTTCTTTCACATCCCTTTCATCAGTCACTTTGTTGCGACTGTATCCAGCGACGAAGAGTTGATTAGGGACAATCTCACCCATTAATTAAATTTGTTAATATTAATATGATTGATTATGGTTGTAAACAATAAAAAATAGTTAATAAATAATATTGAATGCAGTTCACAATTACTATTTTTGTTAGATAACACAATTATATCATATCTTTAATTTAATATATTTAATGGATTAATAAAGAAATTTAAACTTAATTATTATTAATCATCTCTCAACTAATAGAATCTAATTATCAACTTTGTATAATATCTAATTAAAATATCTTTATTTAAAGTATATTAAACTATTAAAGTTATGTTGAGAATGGATTAAAAATGTTATCAAAATGGAAATAGATGATTATAAAAACAAAAGTAAAATAAATAGAATTCAATTAAGAATTGTTGTATAATTTATGGTTATAACATATAAAAGAGTTTAAATTTATTATATCAGTAATGATATATAATAAAATGAATTAATTATTATAAACTATTCATTATTATAATAATTAGACTGATATTCTTAAATATATCACAATATTAATATGTAAATAACTATAATTAATAAAATATTTAGTATATATTATTAATCAATATTATTCAGTTTTTATTCTAGTATTTATAGGAGGTAATAAAAAATTACCTTATTTTTTGTTATTATTATTGTTGTTATGATTATTAATTTTTACATGATTTGGTGATAATTATGGTAATTTACAATTACTTACAGATTTGATTGATGGTCTAGGAGTTTTAATTTATTAAATTGAAGTAGATTTAGGTTTCTTATAATTTATAAATAATGGACAACCAACATTATCTAATTGAACATGTAAGATCTTGCTATTTAATATTTCTTCACATGAAGGTCTCTATTTAGGATCTATTGATAATAATTTATTTAATAAGTTTGTCAATGCTTTATTTTAATATAGTTCTTCTTGAATCTATATCCAATCTAAATGGCATTCTAAATTCTATTATTTCATTGCTAATGAATTTTATCCATTAAATAATGATTTATTTGTGATTCTACAATATATATGAACTAAATTACAATCTATATAATATGCATCCTAAACTAAATATATCACATTTCTCATTATAGGTTAATGTTTGATTATTTTCACAAAGGATTACTTCAGGAGCCATAAAACCTGGAGATCCACAATATTTTCCAACATCCATATCAATTTTTATTTCTGAACTTACACCAAAATCACTAACTACTATATTAGGATCTGTTTATGCAATCAATGAAAATTNAAGAGTTGATTAGGGACAATCTCACCCATTAATTAAATTTGTTAATATTAATATGATTGATTATGGTTGTAAACAATAAAAAATAGTTAATAAATAATATTGAATGCAGTTCACAATTACTATTTTTGTTAGATAACACAATTATATCATATCTTTAATTTAATATATTTAATGGATTAATAAAGAAATTTAAACTTAATTATTATTAATCATCTCTCAACTAATAGAATCTAATTATCAACTTTGTATAATATCTAATTAAAATATCTTTATTTAAAGTATATTAAACTATTAAAGTTATGTTGAGAATGGATTAAAAATGTTATCAAAATGGAAATAGATGATTATAAAAACAAAAGTAAAATAAATAGAATTCAATTAAGAATTGTTGTATAATTTATGGTTATAACATATAAAAGAGTTTAAATTTATTATATCAGTAATGATATATAATAAAATGAATTAATTATTATAAACTATTCATTATTATAATAATTAGACTGATATTCTTAAATATATCACAATATTAATATGTAAATAACTATAATTAATAAAATATTTAGTATATATTATTAATCAATATTATTCAGTTTTTATTCTAGTATTTATAGGAGGTAATAAAAAATTACCTTATTTTTTGTTATTATTATTGTTGTTATGATTATTAATTTTTACATGATTTGGTGATAATTATGGTAATTTACAATTACTTACAGATTTGATTGATGGTCTAGGAGTTTTAATTTATTAAATTGAAGTAGATTTAGGTTTCTTATAATTTATAAATAATGGACAACCAACATTATCTAATTGAACATGTAAGATCTTGCTATTTAATATTTCTTCACATGAAGGTCTCTATTTAGGATCTATTGATAATAATTTATTTAATAAGTTTGTCAATGCTTTATTTTAATATAGTTCTTCTTGAATCTATATCCAATCTAAATGGCATTCTAAATTCTATTATTTCATTGCTAATGAATTTTATCCATTAAATAATGATTTATTTGTGATTCTACAATATATATGAACTAAATTACAATCTATATAATATGCATCCTAAACTAAATATATCACATTTCTCATTATAGGTTAATGTTTGATTATTTTCACAAAGGATTACTTCAGGAGCCATAAAACCTGGAGATCCACAATATTTTCCAACATCCATATCAATTTTTATTTCTGAACTTACACCAAAATCACTAACTACTATATTAGGATCTGTTTATGCAATCAATGAAAATTATTTTAATGGCATAGGTCTCTTAAGTAGTATATTACTTGGTTTTAGATCTCTATGCATATATCCATGTTCATGCATATATTTGATTGCTTCAACAATTTATCGGAAAATAACTTTGACTGTCAGAAACGGTAAAGGTTCTTCTAATTTACTTAATCCTTATTCTAGAGTTCCTCCTCTAGCCCAATCCATAGCTATATAACATTATGCTCTATTTTCAAAATGATCATGACATTTTAATAAGCTGGAATGATCTAAAGATTTCATAACTTTGATTTCATTATCAATTGATTCCTAAAAAATTAAAATTTAATTGTAATACTCTCCATTTATCAGGATCTTTTTGCATAAGCATTTTCTTAAGAAAAGCTTTGATTGCTAATTTAATACCATCTGTTTTCCTTTTAGCTATGTAAACAGATGCAAAACTTCCACTTCCTATCAATTTCTCAAGTTCATAATAAGTCTAATAATCTAATTAGGGAATTGAAGATTTTAATTTTAATTCCCAAGGTCCAGACTTATCAAGAAATAAATATTCTTTAAATAAACAATCATCCTTTTCCAATCTCAAAATAATGGAATTAGATTCATGTTTGATTTAATATCTCAAAGTACTATTAAGTTTCGTCATTTTTAATGATTTTTAAGACTAGAGATATGTATCCAAGAACTACCTTCTTAAACAATAGATTTTAATAACACATAATTTCAACATAATTATTATTTTTGGATAGAAATTTGGATTATAATTGAAATCGTAGGTTTATAATGAGATCTATTTCTGCTGGTTCAAATATTTTATTTTGCATTTTTAATTAATTTATCACTTTATAAATAATTAATTAAACATAAAAATATCATATTTATGAAAGTTTCTAATTATAATTATATTCTCTATTAATAATTATCATTAAAAAATCAATTATTATTCAATTCTTCAAATTACTTATTTTTATATCAAAATAATAATAGTATATATTCTAATATTTTACTCATTACTTATTATAATAAGTATAAAAAAATGATGGATAAACTCAAGTAAGGTATGATCATTTTTTATTATGAATATAAACTATTTCTTTATATATAATTCCAATATTACAATGAATTTATATGTTATTTATAAATAAATAAACAACAATATTAAAAGAATCATTTATGTTAAGTAAAATGATATTTGATTTTCCTATTCAAATTAATTCAAGATAATATTTCAATACTTAAAAGCTAGCTAGATATATATTGAATAGTAAAAATATTAATTGAATTTTCAAAACAACTATTAAAATTACAAAATTATTAACATGAATATCTGATTTATTACAATGTTCTAGTAATACTTATTAGAATGATAATTTTAAAACATGAAATTTATGTTTTTTCATAATTGGACTTTGCTATCTTATAAATCAATTATGCCTTTCATTTTATTAAAATTTAATATTTTTCATTTTCTCTAATTCTCAATACTCAACTCTACAATGTCTTAGAAAGTGCATGCTATAGATTCCCTTAGAACGAGATCTCTTATACCTCCTGATTATGATTAATTAGAAGAAGCTCAACTTAATTAAGAAAATCTTGTCATCTCAAGTCAAAGAAGTTAGAACCTTAAAAGTATACTGAAAAAATAAGGTAAAAACAGTGTATCGAAATTGAAGCGTCTTCGGATTTCAACTAACTTAAATTAAGTATTTATAGTGGAAAATTGGAAATAATATAATTCTAATTATGAAGAACCAGCAGAATCCTGCTGTTAAACATTTTGATTATGAATACAGATACATGAATATATATTAAAATTAGTTTAAATTTACAAATATCCATTTTCAATTTTTTATGTCATAATTATTTTCATATAAAATCATATATATTTGAATACTCTAACTTGTTTTTTGTATTATTTTTGTAAATTTACTTGAAATTGATTATCAATTCTAATTACAATATGAATTCATCATCAAATTCAATATTTTAGTTCTTAGGAATATTTGAAATTATTGTCTAATAAATCAACTGACTAAGATTATATTCTCTTTATAAGAAACATTATTCATTAAAATATATAGGTTTAAGCTAGATTCTTATGATTATAGGGTATATTCCTTTCTGTTATTATATAATCATCATCTCATCCTTTTTGTAACTGATTTCTAAATATAACAAAAATGATTACTTAACTAAATGATTAGTATATAAGATGATAATACCAAATAATTTGACTTAAATAACTATTGAAAAATTTTATTATAATTTTTGTTAAAATAATATCATAGACTCTATATATATTTGAGCAATTTATTCATATTGTTGAAATTGCTTCGATCGATTATGAGTAATATAATTATGTAATATTTTTTAACTTTTACCTGTAAACATAAAAGGAGTGTATTATGTAATTATAAATTATTTATGGATTCCTAAAATTTCTATAAAATTTCAAAGCTATAGTATAATTTAAAACCTTTTTTGATTAAAATAAATAATTAAATGAACAATCCACTTGGACGCTCTACATAGAAACCTGAATAATAGGCACCAAATAATTAAAAAAATAGTAGAGCCAAAGAGTTTGAAAAATAATTATAAGAAGAAGAAAGAAGTAAAATCTATTGAATCATATTTATTAGTGTTAGCATAATCTGCAGGAATTATTAATAATACATAATAAACAAATAGTCAATAATAATAGCCTGCTTATTCATAATAATAATAACTTAATTAATAACCATAAACTGTATTTGGATAAATAGGTTAGATGTTAGATGCTCCAAGAGTAAATTAATTCAACAATATTAGAAATTATTTTTTAGAAATACTACAACTCAACAATAACCAATTTAATAAGGATAAAGATAACCAACCGATTAGAATGAACCAGAAATAATATAAACAAATATTGTATAGATATATACAACTCGTGACATTAAGAATATAGGATTAGAAATTATATAACCTGGAGAAATAGCTTTATAAGAACTTAGAGGAATATGTTCAATTGGTACTTAACAATTTTAAGGAATAATTGTAGCTACAAATTATTAAGTAATTAAATTGATGTTGAAATATAGATTATATTTTTACCTGATAAATTTCCAAAAGATTTTAGAAAGGATTATTTTTATATTCCATATACTTTTATGATTAAAGTAGAGAAGACTATGGATAGGAAATAAAATGATGCTAATTTTATTGAGATATCATGTAAAGATGGTAGATGGTTTAAATATAGATTTTTGAAGGAATAGAATGATGATTGTAATAGCATATTTAATGTTATTAATAAGAATGCATTTACATTAAATAAATAAACTTTATTTGCATTTACATTTTATAAAGAATATTCAAATTTAGAAAATGATTATTAAGGATGGAAGATATATAATATAGAAAAGGATTTTGAAAGAATGGGAATTAATATATTATAAGAGAATTCATAAAATTAAAATGGATTATTTAAATATTTAAATAATGAAAATGGAATCATTTGTTCAACTTATTATAATAGATTAGTTGTACCTACAAAAGCAGATTTAGATTGTATATAAAAAACAGCAAAATTTAGATCTAAAGAAAGAATACCAATATTATCTTATGCATTCTCAATAAATGGAAAAATTATATCTATGTGGAGAAGTTCATAATGCAGAACTGGTATAGGATAAAATAGATCTACTGAAGATGAATGCTATTTAAAATATATGTCATTTTAAACTGTTGATGAACAGGAAAGTCAATATGAAGAAAAGGAAACTCGTTTAAGGATTTATGATGCTAGACCTCATATAAATGCTATTGGATAATAAGTAGCTGGTAAAGGTTATGAGAATACTTTATTTTATAAAAGATGTAGCATAGATTTTTTAGATATTCATAATATACATAAAGTAAGAGATTCATAAACAAAATTATTAAAAGCAGCATTTAAGTATATAATTTATAATAAATTTAAGTGAAAATGTATAATTTCTATCATAATTGGAATAATCATAATGGTATGATCACATTGTTGCTATTATTAAAGGATCTGCAAAAATAGCAATTACAATGACAAAAGAAAAAATTAATGTTTTGGTTCATTGTAGTGATGGATGGGATAGAACTGCTTAATTGACTGCCCTTGTATCTATAATGATAGATTCATATTATAGAACAATAGAAGGATTTATGATTCTAATATAAAAAGAATGGATTAATAGTGGACATTAATTTTGTTAACGATCTGCTATTGGAAATAAATAAAATAATGAAGATTCCAGATCTCCTATTTTCTTATAATTTTTAGATTGTGTATATTAAATGCAATAATTGTATCCATTATCATTTGAATTTAATGGGAAACTATTATTAGATTTAGCTTATCATCATTTAACTTCATTATTTGGAACATTTTTATGTGATTCCTTTTTAGTATTATATTTTATTTATTTATTTTTTTAGGAAATTCAAAAACAAAAAATTATGGAATAAACTGTATCTATTTGGTCTTGGATTATGAAATAAAAAGATAAATATATAAATGCTTTCTATAAAAATCCATAATCTATTGATTAAGATGTTATTATACCTGAATCATTTACAGGAAAATCAATTACTTTTTGGAAAGAATATTTCCTATATTACTCTTTAGAATCAAATGATGCATATTAAATACATCCTCAATGTTAATACACATGGTATTATTTAATAATTTTAATTTTAGTGATAATCTATAAGAAATGTATAAAGCATTGTCTAAAGAAAATCATGTTTTAAGATAAGCATAGAAAGATCAAGAAAAATTAGCCATTCTTCATTAATAGAAATTTAATTAACTTATGCAAATTATCTAAGAAACATAAAATGAAGAAATTATTGAGAAACTTTAGACAATCAAACTTATTTGATAAAGATTTTCATGTTTATATAATAATTACAGATACATATATACATTTTTCAAGATACTCTTTCAACAAAATAATAAAGATCGTTCAGTTCTTTATTAAAATTAAGATTCTATATATTCCCTATATTTAAGAGTTAATGCTCTTCTTTTTTTATTATTTTATTATTTTGGAGTTTTATACTATAGAATGTTATTTAAAATCTCAATTCTAGAATTCCTTTACGAATTTTATTCACTATATTCATTTCTGGAACTTAATTATTCAGGTAATTAATTGGAAATTCGATTACTATTGCTATTTTAACTTGATTAATTATTCTAATAACGAATTCTATCATCTAAATCATTTAAATATAATGTTGCTTTTATTGGCCATTCTTTATCAAGATGTTACTCTAATTTTATTTATTTTGGTAATTGTACATAATAGGTTTTTTAATGAAGTGTATTTAAATTGATAGAGTCTTAAGGAGATAGATTATTTATTCTTTTCAAAACATTCATTTTATTTTGAATTACTTTATTGAATCTATCAGGTGTTGATAATAGACTTCTATCTTATTGTTTACTAGAAACTAATTATATTTTTGGTAGTGGTTATAATTTATCAGGAGATGCAATATAAACAAAGTTTTTATTTTTAGTTTTTCTTTTTTAATTAATTTCATTATCAGTTAATAATTTATTATTCTTATTATTATTATTATTATTATTATTATTATTATTATTATTATTATTATTATTATTATTATTATTATTATTATTATTATTATTATTATTATTATTATTATTATTATTATTATTCATCTAATTATTACTTATTTATGAATCTTCAATTGATGTTAAATAACTCAATGTATTTTTTAATTCTCTTATTGGACTTATTTATGATTGAATATCAGGAATATTTTAAATTGGATCAATTTTAATAGCTGAATCATTTTTTATTCCATTTTTTAAATCTGAAACAGTTAAATATCTTTAATAGATTCCTTAAGTTTATTCAATATTGTTTTCAAATTGTTTATACAATTTATTTTTTTTAATACATAATTTCTTTAATTACTATAAATAATGTTATTCATTATATTATGATAATTTTGAATATAATATTTAGATTGGTATGACAATTAAATTACCAAGATGAGAATGACATGAAACATTAAATTAACGAGGTATTTTTTCAAAAGCCTCATAATCACCAAAAAATTCTCCTTCTGTCATAATTGCTATTTATTTTCTCACATTATATTTTTATTGATAAACTACAAATTCTCCTTATTTAATTATGTAAATAATATCAGAATCTAATTAACCTTTTTTGTAAATAACATCTCTAAATTTATAATCTTAAGTTGAAAAAGAAAACAACATCAAATTTAATAATCTTTAATTTAATCCCTAAAAACTAGGATTTAATTTAAAATTCTTCATTCTTTTTTATTCCTATTTTTTTTACATAATTGATATTGCAATTTAAAATGATTCTTTACTTAGAATTCCTATTGAACAATCTATATCACAAATAGCTATATTCATTCTTTTCTTATCTAATTATTCTCCAAAAACTTTCCATTCCTTAATTTCACTCAAACGAACTAAACTATTTATACTTATGATTTAATCATACTTTTATATAATGTGATCTGAATATTTCAACTTTTATATATACTGTGTCCTATTATCATTATTAACACTAAAAGATTATTACCTTGATTTATTTGAGTTGAATATATCATCTTATATATACAGAGAAACTTAGCCTGATATTACCATATAAACATTATTAGCTTATTCACCTATTTCGTATATCACAGCATTCTGAAATCTGTTAATATGTCAATTTACTTTATCAAAAGTGTCATATTAAATATGACGTAAACAATAATCATAAGCTTCGAAATCATTTTGGTCAGTCTGAAATTATTAGAAAATATCGAAATTCTACATAAGTATTCTCATTAATTATAGAATTTCTTATTTTCTCTCTTAAATCGAACATTTTAGTATATTGATTAAGAGTTTCTTTTTTTATTGTATTGATAACTCATGAATCTATTCAAGCAATCTTGCTTAATTCCTCTTGTTACCTAATTCAAGTGTGTCTAATAATTATAAATTCATTATTTTTTAATGGATAAAAGATTTTTCACTCTTTCCAACGATTAAAAATATTATTAGAATTAATTATATAAATTTATATCCATTCAACTAGACAAATATTTATATAGATTTGATGATGAATTTTTTATATTGAACATAACAAAAATACAATATTTATAAAAAAATCATTTTTTATATTGATTATAAAGATGTAAACAAATGAAAGCATCTAATGCTGCATAATGAATTTAAGCATTTCTTAATGGTCTCTTTTACCAATTTGATATTTATTCAACTTTATCTAATTCTTTACCTAAAAGTTTAGAACATTAAAATGATAAATTAGTTTTCTTTTCTTCTGGAAATTTCATTTTAAATAATTATGATAATTCAATCATTTATTTTAATTCAACATCATAGACTCCAATCTATCCTAATAATGATAAAAAATCCTATCTTATATTTTATCCAATTTTTAAGGCATCACTAGTTGCATATTTTATAAGAAATTATTAATATTTAATACTACTTGTAAGATTAGAACTATTTAATAAAAAAATCTTATCTGGTAAAGCTATTTATAATAAACAAACTTTATTTATTCTAGATGAAAATTTAGTCTGAGGTATTTCTTAAAAACTTTCAGTATCAATCCCAGTTTGAGGAGCCTTTAAAATTTCATCTATAATTTTATCATTTAATGACTCTTCATCTTCAATCATATAAACATCTTCTTTAGATATATTGAAATCCCTTAATAGTACCAATTAATTAGGCTTCTTTGTATTTAATATTATTTCTGATGGCACTAAGAATATCATATTAATCAATACAAAAATCATCATTTTTTAATAGTGCATTTTATGATACATCAATACATTTATCAATCTCTTGTTATATTTGATGATTTTAAACTTTAATATTATTTCGTTTAGCTATTTGGATTGCTATTTATTTATTTGAGGTAAAATAATTTTCAACCAAAAATTATAATTTATTTTAATCTCCCAAAAATAATTCTTCTACTTTCTCTATTGGTATTTCAGCCCTCTATTATTAAACATTTTTATACAAAAATAAAAAATCTCATAGATTCACCATACAAATGATTCAACACCTTCTGATTATCTCTTGTATCCAGATGTTGTTCTTTAATAATCTTGCTTTATAATTTCATATCACTAGTGGCCATTGAATAAACAAGTTCCTAATATTATTTATCTAATATTATACTTAATATGAAACAGTATCATATTATAGAGCATTCATAAATCTATATGCTGTGAAATACTTCTTTTTTTTAATCAATTCTTCAATGTATTCTGAAGTCTTATTTTACAATATTAACTCCTTTAATTTTGTTTCTTCTATCAATTTATCATTAAAAACATTTGAATGTATAATATTATTCAAAATTTTAATTCTCTTATCAAAAAAGATGTCAAACTCCCTAATATTTTTTTTTTCCATTATCATTTCATAAACTTTATTTGAATGCGTAATCTGATAGGAAATAAGAGTTTTTGGTAGTCTCTAATAAATTGAGTAAACAAATCTGGAGAGTCCTATCATAATAACACTCAAAAATACTCAACTTTAAATAAATTATTTAATAATCCTATAAATAAATAAATATAATGATCTAAGCCAACTCTAAAATTTCTGGACTTTAACATCAATTTTATGCAGTATTAAGATTTCTAAATCCAATATTTCAAGTCTATTTTTATTATTGAATTATATCATCTGGTACTTCTTGATTTTTGTACTCATTATATTCTACTTCATAATTAATTAAATGAAAATTTGTTTTAATTTCACAAAATAAACTTTGTGCAATAGATCATTTTCTCAAGCAGATGTTCCATTTGTTGCTTATTAGGCAGGTATATAATTTATGTTTATATTGAGGTTTGAGCTTTAATATGGATTTAAACAGTCCATTCAGATGGACACCAAAAATCTAGAAAATTGAACAAACACCTGAATTTTTAAAGAAAATGAAATATTTTTAGAGACTTACAATAATGGAAGATCATCACTATTCTGAACTAATTGATACATTTCTATTTTAAGCACTTAAAAATACAGATTTTGATTACTACTATGATTATAAATGCGAATCTAATCCTTAGTACTTTTAAAGTTCATCTATTTTAGTTGTCCTTTTTATGGAAACATACCATTTTTAATTTATAATAAAGTCAATAAATACCCTATAATTCCTGTTATGAGAACTAAACCAATTAATGCATTTACTTTGGTGGCTAAAGAAAGAGAAATGCTTATAACTGAGGCTGTTGCAGCAGGATTATGGGCATTGACTAATTCTTAAGTATAAAAACTAGATAGAGTAAGAATGTTATAAACAGATGGAAATCATTGGAGAATGTTAGAACTATGTAAATATTTCAATAAATTATTAAAGGCAAAAATGAGAAATTTAAAAAAACTGGTATCTATTGTTAAGAAAATGATAGTTATAGCAAAATCTATTATGATTATGAAGTTTAATAGGTCATTCTAGGATTAATTAGATATTCACTAAATTAAATGGATGAGAAAGAACAAGCACTTAATTTAATATATGATTTTGTTGATGAAAGAAGATATTTAACACATGAAGGTGCTCCTCCAAAAGCGACTGCAAAATTTTGGAAATTTGTACCTTAATCAATTAAGAACTTTTTCTTTTGAGTTTATTGATGTATGTATCATATTAATTATATTTAATTATTTTATGATATTAAATTTTTTTTTTTTTTGATATGAAAATCAATTTCCTTCTTTATTAAAATTTAATTTAATGATTATGTTTTTAATATGATATTGAATTATAAATTTATCATTCTTCTCCTCCACCTAATTGTTCAATTAAACCATACAAAAATTCCTTAGCCTTTTCATCAAGTATCTTATCAAGCAACTTTTAGAAAATTGGTAGCCTAATGAATTCCATATGAATTAAGTATTAGATAATTAAAGAAATTGGACAATAAAATAAATTATCCAGAGTAAAGGTTCCTACAAATATATAGCTCCATTAATTAGCAGTTTCGACTGAATCCATCATTACCAAGCCTGCCAACATAACATAAGAAATGAGACCAGCACTTATTATCATAAAAACAGCTCCAATTGATCTAACTATCTTCTTTTTATGTGATAATGTTTTTTCTAGAATAATCTAATAAATTTTATTAATAGGAGCAGTTAATAAAGCTAAAGCGACTGTAAAACTAAGATTATTTGGTTAATTAAATACAAATAACACAGCCAAACTACCCAAAATACTTGTGTAAACAATTGAAGCTCTCAAGCCTCGAGGCTTCTTTTCATCTGATTTATATATTATTTATAATAGTTGATGGAAAAACTTAAGGTATTCAATATAGGCTTTAACTTTAGTGATTGAATTTGAAATAGTCAAATACTTTAATCCTTTGGGTTTTTGAAGTTCATTTTTATTCTCCTCTGATTCCTACTTCTTATCATTTTATTATTTATCTGATTCATCACTATTTTTAAAGTCTTCTTATGAATCAAGTCGATTTTCATTTTTTATAGAAGTCTGTTTTTTCAATAATCCATCAGATCCTATGTCCTCCTGCACATCAGGCTAAATGGCGATGTTGGTAAAAATTTTAGAATCAGGGATTTTATTCGCAATTTAATCTTATGGAGAATTTATCCTAGAAAGTGAGGCTTAAAGTAATATTTTTTGAAATGACCTTGGATTTTTAAAAATATTATTCTCTAATTTTGGTAATGATTCGATTTATGGTATATCATTTTCTTTCATTTCTTCAAGTTACTTAATAAAATTAGGCTCCTATTTGTTTTCTGTAATTTCTTTATTCTATTCTTAATTTTCTGGGTCATTTTCAATATTCTCTAATTTAAGTTTTTCTTCTTTTAATTTTTATTCTGCTAATTCTTATGCAGCATGAATTTTTGCAAACATTTCATTATCAACTTTAACTCCCCAATAGACAACATATATATAAATACCTGTGATTCCAATATAGAAATAAAAAACTACTGTCTTATAAAATGGAAATGATCCAAATGCCAATAGAGTATCCAAGGAAAATACTTAAGCAGCTTTATCAGCAATAAGATTTAAGGATTCCATCACAGAAGTTGGATTTAAAGATTCACATTAACATGTCGTCTCTCCATTATTTTGAACTGTTTTGCAAACATTAGCATTCCATTCTCCATTTTAGGCCTGGGATATACATTTAATGGATGTATTATTTTTTATTTCTTTTAGTGTTGGAAATTTGAAATTCATTTTAGAATCTCTTGTAATATTAGATTAAGTTTCTGCGATTAATTTTGGATCTACTGCTTAATATCCACTACTATTTTTAGGAAAGTTTTGATCTGCATAAAATGGATTATCAATAAATCTGGTCATTGAAAATTTATAGAAATTGGTTGAAGTATTATAATCAGTATCTTATTTTTCAGCTTCTTCCTCCAATAATCTACTTTTAGTAATTATTTTTGATCCTGTAACTTCTCCTGCCATTTTGGTTGTAAGAAATCCAAAATTTAAATTTACTGAGTTTGATTATACTTTATATAATGGTTCATTAGGGACACTAATACCTTATAATTGTGATTGCATTTCTTATAGTTATTTTTAGATATCTGTTGATGTTAAGTTCTATTGAACTCTATAATTCAGACAAGAAGACAAAATATCTGAGAATGTATAGTATTGTTAAGTATATGTAGTTTTTTCAATGTTTTATTATGATGTCAATTTATTTTATCTTTATAAATTATAAAATGTTGTCAATTAAACATAAGCTAAATTAATTCTATAATTCAATTAATTGAGTAACATTGATTCATTTTAATTTAATAATGTTACATTCTAACTTAATAATTTAGAAATAGATCTATATAAACTTTCTGTTTAATTACTTAAGAATGTTTAATTTTAATCAATAGCAATTAATTTATAAAATAATTGTTATTTATATTATTATGATCCATTTATTAATTTT